TTAATTAGCTAGGATAGTCGATTTATTATTCAGACTGTATTATTCTTTTGGTCCCTCCGAGCGAGGGCAAACTTGTAATAAGTGTGGGTGCATGTGTGCATGTATTCCAACCCCCATTTTTTTCTCCCTTTTTATTTACCCGCTTATGATGGTAGACTAGGGCATATTTAAATTAGCATAACAGTATGATAGCATGCGTGCATCCATACATCTGTCTTAAATGCACCGGGCTCGGCACATCATGCTAACTGCACTTGTATTTCAATTCCAAGTTGAGAACTTGTTAGTTGCAGCATTTCACATGCCATCTTTAGGATAGCCGAGCCTGTTTAGATTGCATCTTTGCATGTGTTGCATTAGTCATTTTTAAATGAACTAGGATCATGCATATGATTACTGACTAGTTTCTGTTTTGGCTCGGAGTACTAGGTAAGCTTTTATGCTTTAGCATATCGCATGCGTGTGAGTGTTGCCATGACAGTATGATTACCATGAGGCTAGCTGCTTATGTGATATAACTGCTTGAATGCCTGTGGATGGAGGTTGAATTACCTAAATTGGAATAATGCATTAAAACTGTGAGTTATAAGCCCACTAGATAGTGGCAAAATCATCCTTTCTAAAAGCCCACTTGAGGGTGGCAAAACCTGCATTTTAGCCTACTTGCGAGTAGCAAACCATTTTCAAAACAAACATGAAATGTTTTGTTCCAATTTGGGCGATTTGGTCTATACTTGTTTGCTGCGCGCATAACATAGTAATTCTAGGCTAACAATTGGTTTAAGAATCCCCGATCGTACCCAAGCTCCCGAGCCGAGACAACTCCGGTGATGACGGACATGTGGCCTTTGGCACCGAGTCAGGGTTTCCTAAATTCCCCCATTTTAAAATATTTAGGTGGCGACTCTGTATCTGGCAAAGCAGTCCATGTTTGGCACTACTTTTTCAAAAATCTGTTTCTCAAAACGATTTGCCAGATTTGGACTCTTTGGTTCAGATTTAGAACCGTGACACAAATCGAGTCCGAACTGTAGCGAGGGCCTTCGCGGGCGCTGCTACAGTGACATTTGGAACTCTATAAGATAGAGGATTATAAGTATGGCGCTTTCTATAGCCTAGTTGAGAATGAAAATAAATTTTCAATATCCGAGGGACAATGAGAGCGACGTGCCTACTAATGGATTACTCCATTAGAGAATAATATTCTACATTCTTAGTTGTGTAGTAGCAAATGTGAAAATTTTCCATATCATCACTGGGTGATTGAGAATGAAGCATTCATGATTGCTCCGCAAAAATGATAAAGAGCCTAGGATAGTGTCAAAGGCTATCTAGTCCCCTGTTTTTAGAAAGTGGATCAATGTTGCGCATTTTAAGACAAAATCTTTGAGGATTAACCATTTCTAGGATTTGGTTGACTTTCCGCTATGATGCAAAACTATTCTAAAGTTATGCACAGTTGGGATAATCATTTTTTGAGGCATAAGGCTCACTAGATACCAAAAAGCTACACCATTGAGGAAGGTGTAAACTATCAGAAGACTTCCTCTTAAGGGGTGAGATTTACTTTGACTTAGGCTACGATTGACATGAGTTCAAAACTTTACTTTTGGACATTGTGACCCAACTTCTCGTTGAAGAATTGGATAAGTAGATTTGTAGGGATTTCCCTTATGCTTTTATGGAGAAAAGTTAGGAGCATAAGAAAATTGCTAGTTCCAATAAATCTTTTGCGACCTAAAATAGTTATCCAAATAGTGATTCTTAGATTTCATCGAGCCATGATGAGCCAACGATGATCGATGAAGACCATTGAGGCATGACCAATGGTTCAAAAGAAGTTTTTCCATACTTAGTCATTATGAGCCAGGAATTTATAAGGTTGTTGCCACATAGGGCTGGCAGTCCTCTATTTTAGACATGATGGACATGGGTGGTGTAATTTATATGCTCGAATGTACGATCCTTAGGGATTGGTTTGGGAGAATTCTCAGTTTGTCTTTGATGACTTACATAAAGGCCTTGTTTGGTGAAGGCTAAAATTGGGTTTTTTAGGCTAAATCCACTAAAAGACAAAATAAGCTCAAAAAGCCACTAAGACAAAATGTCACATCAAACTCATAATCATTTCACTTTTTCTCTCACAAACATTGCATCCAACTACAAAAAAATCCAACCATCTTCCCAAACACAAAAAAATTAGCCTACTAAAATAGTCAAAAACTAAACTAGCCAACTTCCCAAACAAGGCCAAAAAATATCCTAGAATGATTCTAGATGTGAAATTTCAAGCCCATTAACTTATCTATTAGTAAAAGCTAGAGTGCTATTAAGTGAATCCTTAGATTGTCTCTGGAAGAAACATATGACCTATATTTCTTTATTTTTAATTGCGGGAGCTTGAAATACACTATGTGGACTTATTCGGCATGATGAGTGTTATATTTTGTAAATGGTCAATTGAGTAGTTTAGACATTAACCTTGCTCATTAGACAGTGATTAGGATGCTCTACTAGTAGTGTATAAATTTGCTCCCTGTAAGATTCAATACGCTAGTTGGGTGCATCTTGAATGAACGCAAATTGGTCACCAAAATATCTTTAGAGAGGTAATTGCGCAAAAGGTGCTGATCTAGAACCATTTCATGTGAGGCGCACATGGTGGATTTTGTTGTATATGCTTACTGCAAGAGGTGCTGATAGGGCTTATGCTTGGAATCTAGAATTGTGCAAACTGTGGTTGTGTTTTTTCAATTGATCACTTATTTTTGTGAGATTATGGGATATTTATGCTATTATGGTTTGTGTCATAATAATTAGCAGATGATGATCTCAACAGGCAAAATTGACTCACTCACATGAGCAATTGCCCTTGGCGCTTCAGAGCAAGCAATGATGTCACTAGTGGTTTATTTTATTTAGAGCCAAGAGAGGCTTAAGTTATCCACTATGTACGTTGCCTTGGTTGCAACCAAAATAAGGTCGTGTTAAAGACCAAACATGAATGTTAGTACCCAATTTCCATGTTGTGCTTGTTATGATTAGCCAGATACGAGATCTCATTTGACACTTGCAAGGCGAACAAATAACGAATTCAAGTTAGACGCTAGAAAGTGACTAGACTAAGATCTGTACGGTGTATTGAATATAACGACACTCTTTGGAAGAGTTACTTCACCATAGCATGTATTCATACTACATGCGCTTGGCGACTGAGTAATGAGATAAGAGAATAGATCACGGTTTCCTCACCGTGTGAGTCTTATGTGTCATCATTGATATGACTTTCACTTATGTACCCTTTTGTGACCTTTGACTATGTCATAAGGTAAGGAGTTGATGTTCTGCTACTTTGGTATGTTGCCGGCGGTCTTGTATGATTTAGCCTTAAGGGATATCACTAAGTAAGCGGTCAATCCTAAACTAAATTGCATGACAGTGAAGGGAAGATCATCTAGCCACCACTGTTGTATATTCACTATTGGTAACTCATATCGATCTGTGTGAGAGGCTGAGTTTCTAGTGTAGAGCTTCCATATACAGGTGTTCTCAGCGATCGCACGGTCTATTGACAAGTATGAGTTTGTTTGAGGTTTGCGCAAATTGAGATTGAGATAAATATGTGGCATTGTCACGCTAACCTATGTATAAGTGGGAGATGTCGAAAATCGGGTTGAGTTTCGGACCGAATTTGGGTGTCCATCGTGGCATGACCCATGCAGTAACCTTATCAATTTGAATTTCAAACCACCTTATCTTAGAGATAAATGTGAATAACTTACAATCTCATCTCCTGGGGAGATAGAGTTATGGGTGGTTATATCTATTGTATCTATACATATTACGTATAATGTGATATGGGTTTTCAATTGAATAGTATTTTCGGAAAAAGTTTTTCTCTCTCTAGCTCTCTACCATGGGAAAATAACCATACCTTTGTATGGTAAATAGTGTAGGTAACTCTCTAGTAGTTCTACCCCATTGCTAGGAATTATTTGAGTTCATTAATGGAGGCACGCAATTTATCAACATGATTCATAGATTTGGTTTGAGAGTAAAAAGTATACCCGAATCCGTTTATTTCCACCGTGTATTATTTCTTATGTTTCCTAACTTTTTAAAAAAAAAATTTAGAAGAAATTACAAAAAAAAAAAACAAAAACAAAAACAAAAACAAAAAAACCATAGGGTTTTAAATAAATTCGAAAATTTTAATTTTATTAATTTAAATCTTAATCCCTTGATTTCTTTTCTGTCTAAATTATTTACCTATTTTCATTAACTAAAACTGACAAAAAAAAAAAAGTATTTTAGTCATTAAACTCAACGAATGTCTACAATAATTTTTTTTGTTGAGTTTAATGACTAAAATACTATTTTTTTGTCAATTTTTATTAATAAAAATAGGTAAACGAGTTAGATTGAAAACCAATCAAAAAAATTAAGATTAATATTGATAAAATTAAAAATTTCAGATTTATTTTGTTAGATAAGTCAAACTTTGGCAATTAATAAGATTTTAATAAATTAAAAAGTTTACTCTATTTAATTTTTTAAAAATATATTTTTGTAAAAAATCAAAAAATGAAAGTAGTTAATTCCCAAAAAAAAAAAAAACCTTAGACATTGTTTGTTAATTATATATTTTAGTTAAAAAAATCACTATAAATTATCATATCACTCTCTCTACCTTTCTAAATTTTTTTTTAAAATTAAAAAATTAAAAAATTACTAAGCTTTCGTTTGAGAAGTGAGTTGACTTTTTGACTTTTTTGACTATTTTAACTTGGAGCTAAAAAGCCTGATTTGAGTAGAGATTTTAACTTTTTTGACTTTTTTATGAGAAAAATAATGTAATGATTATAAATTAGATATAATATTTTATTTTATTAGATTAAAAAATTTATTTTATTTTCTATGACTATTTTAACCCAAAAAAAAACCTTCAAACCAACTTAAAGTAACATATTTCCAGACAAGTCCCCAGTTAACCCAAAAATTTAAGAAGGAAAGAAGCTTCCAAACGTGCCTTAATGGTTTTTCGTTTTTTTGAAATCAAGCCGGGCTCTACTCTTTCCGACAATAATTTTCTTGTTTCGTTAGCCCCATTCCGATCACTCACCATTTCGCAGAGACACAGAGACAGAGAGAGAAAGAGAGAGAGAGAGACTTTTAACCATAATCGCATCTTCATATATAGAAAGAGAAAGGGCAAATTCGAGAGAGTGGAGATAGAAGAGAGCGACTCAGATTTCTATTTCGCTTGATATTTTGAGCAATTTGTCGGAAAAAAACCCTAATTTTTTTTTTTTTTTGAATTCTAAGAATTAGGGCTTATACACTGAAGGGATCGAAGCTAAGATCGAAGAGCGACTCAGATTTCTATTTCGCTTGATGTCTTGAGCAATTTGTTGAAAAAAAACCCTAATTTTTTTTTTGAATTCTAAGAATTAGGGTTTATACAGTGAAGGGATCGAAGCTAAGATCGATATTCTCAGGAGCAAAAGTGTTATGCTTTTGCGTGAATCGACGCTGATTCATACATATATGTTCTATATCTGCACATATGGTGGGGTTTAACTCCGTAGTTGAAATTGTGGGTTCTGAAATGGAGGGTAGGAAAATTACAGCCAGTCCTCGGCCTTCCTGTGGCCGCCGGGTCGTGGCCAATAAACGGCCTCGCAGCAATAGTGTTAAGAAAATTCAGCGAAGGGAGATTTGTTCGAAGCGTGATCGTGCTTTTGGTATGAGCGATGCTCAAGAGAGATTCAGAAACATTCGGTTGCAGGTTTGCTTCTTCTTTTTGTGTTCTGTTTCTATTGCTTTTTTTTTACCAACCATGAGTAATTGCAACAAATGAGACAATTGAATTTAATATGTGAAAAAAAAGAAATTAGGGTTTTGATGATTAATTTTTTTCTGGGCTTTCCTGATGAGTTTTTACATGTACATGCAAACATTGTGCTCGTTCATCAACGGTGTTGCTCTTAGAGCATCTCCCATTCTTACTCAGTTTGGTCGTCAAATTTGAGTGAAAATTTGGTTAAAAGCTGATATAGAACACTCCAATTCTTTCTCATTTTTTTCATCAAATCTTTTCGAAAACTTCCAAATTTATCATAAAACCCGCTTTAACCATTTTTGATGAAGGGGGAAAAAAAAAAAAAAAAAAACCATCTCCAATCCTTATTTTTACAATTTCATCAAATTTGAGTAGTAATATGTCTTCAGTGTTGGGAATTTGGGGAAGGATTTGGTCCATCCTTGATTTGGTGAAAAAATGGCCTGCCTTGATTTGATACAAATTTGATGAGATGATTGGAGCACACTTTTGGCCACTTTTTCATCAAATTTGAATTTGATGAAAAACATTGAAGAAGGATTGGAGAGGTGCTCTTACGAGATGGGCTGTTGTCCAGTTTATCAAATTATTAACTTGCCTTATGAAGAAAGTCTCAGATGGGCTGTTGTCCAATTTATCAAATTATTAACTTGCCTTATGAAGAAAGTCTCAGATTTTGGTGTTGGAGAGATTTCAAAAAAAAAAAAAAAAAATGAGAAGGAAAAATGGATTGGTGGCGCAGGACTTTCGTGCAACAAAACCATAGGGAGTTTGATGTAATTAGGTGGAGATGCTATAATTTGTCAAACATTTCTCCTTATAGAGTATAGACACTTTGACAGTTTAGAGTGTGGGCGTTTGTTGAGGTCTTTGTATGCCAAGTGTCATGTCTTTCCAAAGGGTATTGTATATTTCTGTTAACTTGTCATTTAGTTTTTGTATCCATTGTCAGAAGATACCATGCTTCTTCCACATAGGCCGACACAAGTGCATATCATATGTTGGAGTTGGATGTACATGTATTGCTGCGTTGACACCTTGTGTTTGTATCAGAAGATTTGGAACAGTATTTTGTTTCCTATTTCAAAATTGTGTGGTCATATTGAGGAGTGATTTTGGGGGTTGCGTTAAGAACATACTATCTACCTTATCAAGAAAATGACCTAAGGCTTGTTGCTAAAATTCGCCGTTTGTTGAGAGAGAGATTAGCAGTGCAGTATGGTTTATCCCACTTTGGCAAAAATCCATAGTGGTACGAGGTTCTTGAACATTACGGAAATGGAAATATATTTCGAAGTTAAGCTGACTTAATGGGGTATGTTATAGGAGAAGGTGATATGGGGAGCTTTTGAATGTGGAGATATACTCCCCCAAGGGTGCCTAATATGCCTATGTTGACACATCACAACATTGGCATGGGTAGGTATGGATTATATTCTTGGACATACACTCAAATTGGATATGATGATCTTTTATATGTGATGATATAAAAAATGAAGGAACAACAAAAGCTTGGAGTTGATACTATATAGGAGTTTCTTGTTTCTTATGAGGGAAGATAGATAGACACCCTTTTATATATATAGACAAGAGTTATAGGTTAGGGGTATACAAGAGTTGATACTGTACATTTTTTTATTGTTTGTAGGTTAGGGATATTTTGGTAATTTGCTCGGTTTTTGAACATGCCAGTGTTTTTAAAAGCTCAAGGCGCACTAAGGCGCTGAAGGTCTCTCGGGGCCTAGGCGCAAGGCGAGGCGCGGACTTTATTGAAGTAAGGCGCATAGTCTTAGTAAAAAATAGAAAAATTAATATAGACTAATCATTGTGTAATGTAAGTGTGATTAATTGTGTAATGTAATGGAAAATA